GGCCTGACAGGCTAATTTTCGTATACATCGCAGTGTTTTATGGGGACGGTTGCCCGTTTCATTTGTCAGCTGTGTAGCCAGCATAGCTGTTGGGAAAGCTTCGCACTACTGATACGTTTTAGGGCCCACATGCGCCATGCTTGACAGGAAAATTCCTAAACTCTAAACAACCTGTGCATCTCGCTTTGCAACGAAGCCACGGGTTTCCCCCGGTGTTGGGTTCAGGGTTGACTGAAATCCCGGAAGGCTCAAACCCGAAGCACTGAAAACTACACACGAAACACCGAAGCCTGCTAAATCCCAGCTTGAACCATAAGCCAGTCAACCACGCGTCTCCCTAAATCCAAGAATCCTGATCACTAAGCCTCTGAATCCCTGAACCCTTTCTAGCAATGACAATGCAAGGCTTAAATGCTGGAGTCGCTGTTTTGGAACATTCGTGGTTCCTACATCCTAAAACCTCGTTCCAAACTGCTAGGTACTAATTCCCAAATCCTACTCCTACTTCCTAAAACATAGTCCCTAGGTCCTAGATCCTAAAACTCCTGAATAAGAGTTCCTCAATCCTAAAGTCTATGTCCTGGATTCCGAAATCCGAATCCTGGTTCGTGAACCCTAGCCCTATAAATCCAAAATCCAAATAGCTAAGTTTTGAGGCCAAGTTCCTTTATCCTAGTTCACTTAGGGGCTGAGTACCCTAGCCCAAAAATGTTAGTTAACCTTTGTAATTCTGGTAGGATTCTAAGAGCCCCAAAAGGTCAAAGGTTACCTACTCAGCTACTAAGTTCGGGCTCTGTGAGGGGAAGCCTCCGAAAGCTTTGGGAAGCCTTTTTGAGGTAATTGGGAACCTCTTTAGCCAATCTGCGTTGAAAATCTGGAAAGCTGGGACCTAAACCCTAAACCCCTACCCTAAACCCTAAACTGTGGGGTTGTCTGTGGAGTCTCCGAGACACTAAGGAAGGCGTTGCATCCGTGTGCCGAGTTGGCAGGAAAAGTGAACATAAGATAGAGAATGCGTTATGGAATGAGGTTAAGCTTTAACCTCAAAAAACAGATAGGCCTGGCACACATGAAAAGGCATCATGAAGGCCCCTATATGGGTGGTTGTCAAACTTGTGGTCCCGCTATTATTATACCCTTATCTGTGAGGCTCTGAACGGGGTCACCATTCGCAAAACACCGGCCCTGCATTTTTGGAAAGGTAAGGGGTAAGGTTTAGGGCTTCAAGGGCCCTGGCAGCTTCAGCCTTGATGGCAGACAGCACAGCCATCTCGTCTTACGGACGCATCGACAATTATGTCGCCCCAGGGGCAACATCCAGTACTTCGAAGCACTGGCGTTGAGAGTTTACAGGAATGTCAATGCCGACACCCAGAACAACATCCGTAAAGAGTGACTCCTTATCAGCACCCATAGTTGCGTTAACTCTGTCCAACATTCATCATTGGGACACTGTTCACTACAGAATGTCCGTTGATGTTCGCTTTCATCCCAAAACAAGCAAAGGCTGCCTGCTCAGATACTCAAGCAGAACCCCTTCAATACTGCAAACGAAATCGAAATGCCGCAAGACCCTATGAAAGACTGCAAAGCCCCATGAAACCTTGTCAAACCTACGAAACCCTACACAGCACAGTAGCCCTAAACCTTCAATCGCAATACCTGCCTCAACGGAACCCTTTGACTTTGAAGGAACCCTACATACTATAGGATGGACAGACCGGGCCTGATCTGCATCGCGGATGTCCACCGCATGCCGCCGGCCCGGCGGAGCGTGCACGATGCCATCGCAACAGGCGAAGCTCGGCACCGAGAACCAATAGGGTTTGGGGATCACTGGTTCAGGGGCATACTTACGGGTGTAGGCTTTGGGGGTTTAAGGTTTAGTGCTTAGGGGTTTGAGGGTTTGGGGTATGATTCAGGGCTGCTGCCTCCTAGGGTTTAGATATATGGCATTTAAAGCTTAGACTATGGTTTTGGGCTCAGGCTTATGACTTCGGGCTTAGAGGGTTCAGATTTCGGGTGTGGTCGAGGGTTTAAGTCGCATGCTCGGGGTCTCAACCATGTAACATAATTTAGCACCGCTATTCCTTCGAAAGCTATACGTATGCATCTCTGGATCTCCAACCCTCGCCACGAAATCGATTTGCAGCAGCTGTAGCCTCAAATGACATTCGGTGGTCGGCGCAGGCATTGCAGCTCGCTACGATCAAAAGGCCTAAATTAGAAGGGGCCCCCACCCTTTAATAGTGACTATAAGGATTATATTAGGGCCCGGCCCTATTATATTCCTCTTATACCACTATTACAGGGTGGGGGCCCCTTCTAAGGCCTAAATTTCAATAGCCGCACACCCTATAAACTACAATGCAATTGAAAACAACAACCTCTCGGAATGTCCAGTGTTCCCCTTGCTGTTGAACCACCTCTGAGCCCGAAACTCTTGGCCTTCCAAAAGCTGGTATGTTACACACCCTTGCGAAACGCGATAACGACCTGATAAAAACTGACACTGTAAAAGACAGAAAGTATGCAACGCCTTTATGGAAAGCGCAAAGCCTTACAAAACACTGATCAAGCCTTTGTAAGTTAGGAGGTGCCCTGACTTCATGTGGTGCACGGTGCAGGCAGGGCGAACGAAGAGAGAACAGAGTTCGAGGCTGGGATGCATGTAAAGAGCTCATCTTCTCAGAAGGCTCGCTTTACGGCTTTAAACCATAAGCTCTAGCTAAACCCCCAAAATAACGGCGCTTATCGTTTTGGGCGTTGGGGTCTGGCGTCTTGGGTTCAAAGGATGTATAAATCTGAGCAGTTTAAGTTTGCTCAGATTTGGAATGGAAGGAGGCCTGCGAAGATATTGGAACAAGGTTTTATCGGAGAAAGGCCTCAGGCTCAATGTGGAGTTTGGGAATTTGGTTTTTGGGATATCCGCCTGCATCCGGCGACGCATATGAGCTTTCAGGCTTGAGCTTTGACGTCTGGGAGTGTCGACGAAAAAGTGCCTAAGTGTTAGGTTGAATAAACCTAGTTGCTGAGTTGATAAGCTCCAAAAAGTGTATACTTTCAGTTCTATAAGAGATCACATTATCCCAAAAAGTGTAAAGTGTGCTCACGCGGCTACTAAGTAAACGGAGAATCCCTAAGCCCTTACACCAACACGAAACCATGCAGAAAGAAGGATACCCTCAGATTTAACTGTGGGCAGGCCTACTGCTCTGGGCCTTCCAACTATATCATTCGTTTTTTAAAGTGCCTGAACAGATTGAACTGGTTTTTGGGGCTTGTATAGCATCGTAGCTTTAACCTATTACAAGCCCTTCAAAGCCCTAATCTCTCAACCCTAGACCCTAAACCTTACATAATTAACGGTTGCAAGCCCTACAATAACAGCGGGGCTGAGGCACAACTCTTGCCCATATTATTGAGGCTTGCGGAAAAGGGGGAGGGAGAAAAAAAAGCCCGCACAACCCTGCACAACACTCTAACGACTAAACTTGAACCCCAACCCCCCAAGCCCCATAAATCCCCAGAGCCTGAACGTCAAACCATGAATCAAAAAACCCTAAACCTAGACCCTAAAGCCTGAACCATGGACTCCAAAACTCTTGGCCACACCCTGTAATTAGGACTTTGCACACACCTTTGGAGCAACCCTAATAGGGCCTTTAGAGCTACAGAAGCCCTCACCCTAAACCCAACAAATCTCTCGACAAAAACCCAAAACTTAAAGCCCTAAACCCGAATCCGTGCTGCTTTTTTCCCAGCCGGCCGTCCCTTGAGGATTCGGCGCCCAAGCAGCACAGGCTCCGAAGCCAACATGGGCAAAACCCTAGCAATAATGATATTAACAGGAAAGTGATACGCACAAGACTCACCTTAAGAATGCTACTACAGAACCGTGGAAACAGGAGAGAGCGAGATCACTAAACCGTTCAATGTGCTGAGGCGGTGATGGAATGTCATTCAGTGTATAAACCGAACATAGGAACAACGAAAAGTATGTTAACAGTGCTACTTCGCAAACCTTCAACAGGAACTCTTTAATAACGTGCACCCTTCACAGAATTCTGGCCCAATGCTTCTTCAAAGCAGCGGGCCCTGACAAGAGCCCATCTGAGGACATTGAGATGAAGGGGATTACGGTTCCACTCTAGCCTGCCATAGCGTCTTGGGTCTACTATATGGCATGGGTCTTCGTTCTAGCCGGCTAGTTGAAGTTCTACCGGCCGGGAGTGGCCCTCTAAAGTAGATAGGGTATCTGGCAACTGGCCGAGTCGTTCGTGCCCGGCACTTTCAGGGACTGAGGCACCGGGCTTTCAGGCATCGGGTTGTAGGGCCGAACAAACCCAAACCCCCCCAACCCTGCTTGGAGGTACATGGGTAGTAGTTAAAATAGGTTGCAAGCCGGGTAACTGTACTTAAAACCCATAATATTAACGTAGTTATACGTATGGTTACAAGTAGGGTAACTGTACTTAAAACCCATATTAAGGGACTTGTAACTGCACTGATAACTACCCATGAACCTCCAAGTAAACCTCAAAGGCTCAATGGCTGAGCCTTACGATTCTGCTTAACTAGTCAACTGTGATTCTCGTTACCCGAAAAACCTAGCCGCTTTACTGATGGTAAGCTTACATATGCCCACTGCCCAATTACGGCATATGCTGTTCCGGCTATCTTACTACTTGCCTCCCTTATTTATTGCTATCACTTGTCACAGTCTTGTTATTGGTCACTCGTGTAATATTATTACAGTTCAATTTGTAATAGTAGCGGTTGCAAGCATACCTGTCTTCATAGCAACTCGTAACAAAATCAACTGCACATGGGGTACGGCCCCCACTCAGTAATAGTTGAATAATATTCATACTATAGGTATACTAGGACCTTAATAGTAGCCCTATTATAGACTCTTACTGCAAATGGGCAGTACTTAAATCGCACATATACTCTGCGTCGTGTCAGTCCCCAGATCTCGCTTCTGAGAGCTTCGCAACTCAAGCCGCGAGCTTCCTTCCGGGGAGGAAACCTGACCAAGGAAAAATCCTAAACCCTAAAATCCGAAACCCTAAAACCCTAAACCCAAAAACTCTAAACCCCACACCCTAACCCTAAAACCCTGAACCCTAAACCCCAAAACCCTAAACCCTAAAACCCCAAAACCCTAAGCCCTATACAACTAAACCCTCAAACCCGAAACCCCAAAACCCTAAACCACAAAACCCTCTAAACCCTAGGCCGCTACACCGACTAGAACGGCTTGGGCAGCTCCGGGCTCAGGGTCCAAACTCTGGGTTGGCAGCTTTGGACTCGGGGTTTGCCTTCGTTCCGAACCAAGAGAGACCTTACCTTTGTTTTTTTTTGAAGGCCCTTTTCCTCCCTGCTACAGTCGGAATAAGGTATTGGGAAACCTAGAGGTTAACGGTTTAGGGTTTACAGGGTTTTGGTGCTTCACGGTTTTAGGTATTGGGAAACCTATAGGGGTTAAGGGTTTAGGGTTTACAGGATTTTCGGGCTTGACGGCTTTATAGAGTTTAGGTATTGGGAAGCCTACCTGTTTACCCCTAAACCCTAAACCCTAAACCCGCACCCTGTGAATGTAGGTTTCCTTTTTTCTCGAAATCACACATCCAAGGGCCCGATAAAACCTCATAAGTCAAAGGGGAACAGGAGGGACCCTTAATGGGGATCTGCCCTATAATGGGCTATATAATGGGTATATAATAGCTATATTAAAGGTATATACCTAGGGGTCCTTTTTAAGGGTCCATCCCTTCCCCCTTGGAATAAGCGGAAGTCGCAAGGCCCAACCCCGAGAGCCTAAGCCGTCCCGCATTCAAGTCCTATGATTGGTCGATGGGGTTTGGGGTTCTCTACGTGATTTTGGTTCCAGTGTGCCGGCATCGGATTCGTACTAGTGACCAGTGATAGTACTTATAACGGTCAGAATAATCATAGAAAATAACAGTGGTAGCAAGAATAGCAGTCATTATACTGCTGATAGTCATAGCAAAGTACTAATGTTCATAATAATGTCAATAACAACATTAATGACAATACGGTTACTAGTAATAGCAACAATACTGACACAAGAAAACAGTAGCAATAGCACTCACAATAACAATAACCATAACATAGCCAATAGTGACGAATATGGTAACTGTCATACTCATAGTAATAATAGAAAGAATGCTAACACTCATCACCATCAAGGTACAGGCAGTGGTTCTTGTTTGGGGGCTTGAGCTGCCACTTCGGGTGCTTACATGCATTGCCCTCCGAAATTAAGCACCTAATCACTTAACCCTTCTCCAAGCCCTTAAACCCGACACTACCCATATCCCCCAAAGTAGTTCCTTTTTGGGATTACCTTATAGGATTCTATGTATGAAACCCCAAAAAAGGAACTACCTTGGGGCCTTAGGGTAGACCCTAGACCCTCTACTCAAGACAAATCCTTTCAACCCGACTCCCGGCTTCCGAAATCCGCGGGGCTTCGGTTCGTGTTTAGCGGCTAGGGTTTGGGGGTTTGGGGTTTAGGATCTAGGGTTTAGGGTTTGGCCGGCAGTTAACGCGAGCCGGATGCGAGAAACTGGTAGGTTCCTGAGTACTTGGAGGTTCAAGGGTAGTTATAAAGGTTCGTTTTCAGGGCCCCTTTAAAGGGATCTATAGGGATTCTATAAGGGTGTAGGGTTCAGAGCCTACTTGGAGGTTCATGAGTAGTTATAAGTAGCGTTATACGTAGGGTAACTATACTTATAACCCATATTCGGGGACTTATAACCCTACGTTTAACTACCCATGAACTTCCAAGTAGCCGCCCTCAATACTGCAGGTAACATGTTTCCTACTGTTTGGTTTCAATTTGAGAAGGGAAACCAAAAAGAGAAGTGCAAAAGGGTACTACTGGGGAACCTAGGGTTCCGGTGCATAAGGGGGTTCAGGGTTGAGCTTTTAGAGCTCAAGGCTTTAAGGTTCAGGGTCTCGGACATAGGAGTTTTTAGAATTTAGGAGAGGGGTACGAAGTGAGGATACCGTTGACGGCATGGTTCTGATGCGCTTCTGAGTCCAAGAGCATCAAATCAGAGCTATCCGAGTTATAGGGTGGTCCAGGGTGGGCTTCACGGAGCGAAATCTAAAGACAGGCGAGAAACTGTCAGCCGGGGTTTTGTCAGAGTAGTATGTGGGCCTTAATAACTCTGGTTTTTTGAGGGCAAATTTGCTATACACATAATAAGGAACCCCCCAAAATAGTATAAGGCCCCCTATAGTATGTCCCTCTGTCCTCCACTCGAAGCTTCCACTTCGTTAGTTTAAGGCCTCTCTGAAAATCATGGCCCAAACCCCTGGCCCAGAACTCGTCAGGTTTAGAGCCAGTTTGGGGTTTAGGAGCTTACGGGGTCAGGGGTTTAGGGTTTAGGGTGGTTAGAGTCCGTTTAAGGGTCAGGTGTTTGGAGTTTAGGGCCGCAAAACCCTAAGCCCTCCTCTCGGACTGCCTGAGTAACCAGGAAGCGCGGGGCGGATGACGTCCACGGGGTGGCAGTCGCGCTCTGTGGGCATGTGCCGGGGCCTTGATTGCAAGCAAAGGAATCCCTACCTATAGTCTCCATTGATTTTCACTTTAAAACTTTAAGCAGAAGCAGTTGCACATTTTGGATCCTATAAGGTGCAGCCACCTCAACGACACCAAACCGGGTGCAGTACATGGGTGTGCAGCCCCAAACATCCATTTTGCCGTTCTCATTGTTCTCTCAGGGAGGCGCACTTGCCCACATGATGGGTGGCATACTCTGAGCATAGGGTTTTGGGCACAAGATTGGGTGTAGTGGTTCACATAGGCAATATTGCTTAAAGACAGGTTAGGCCCTGGTTAGGCAATTGGGGCTGCAGGGCCTCACTCCAAAGCACAAAACCCCCAAAACCCCCGTCACGGAATTAATGTGGCCTCACAGCCCTGCAACCAGCCGAGAGTGGTTCTTAAGAAGGGATCTCTCATTCAAGAGCTCCGGTTTAAGGCTTACCTTAACTCCGAATGACCTCCCTTTTTCGGTGAGGATGGTGCCAACAAGGCGAAGTAACTTCGCAACACCAGCGGAGACTATGCCTAGGGTTTGAGGATCTCCAAGCTGTAACCTGTTATACTAGCAGCCCTTTAGTCCCAGAATGGCAGTACCAGCCTTAATAGCCCCGTGGGAATTGACTATACTATATACTATAACTGCCCCGTGGGAATTGATTATACTATATACTATAATTGCCCCGTGGGAATTGATTATACTGTATACTATAACGAAAATCACTGCTAAGGAATATCTGCATGTCTTACATACATAGATATGCACACATAAACATAATACATCTACATAATACATATCTGTACCCCAAGCATACATACACGCATATCTGCATGCATACATGCATACATTCATACATGCATACATTCATACATGCATCCATGCATGCATGCATGCATTCATGCATGCATGCATGCATGCATATGTTTACTTTTGTAGCTGTCTATGTAAGTACATCCACGACATAATACAGTACATAAAGTTATGGTTTCCGGGGCAGGAGCAGCCGCTGATGCTCACCCGGCGAGTACGTGTGCGGCAGGTCGTTTTGCAGCCGCCCATGACTGGCAGAACAAGTTTCTACCCGTCGGTTGTGGTTACGATCTTATGATGGAATGCTCAACCCAAAAACTCTGAACCTAAAACCTCCAAACCCCTAAAACCCTTTCTTGAGGCAAACTGAAATCGAGATTAGGATTTAGCCTCTACTACTTCTAGGCCTAAACTTGAGGATTGGGGTCTGATTGGTATCTTGTGGTGCAAGATGCTGTGGAGTGTACTCCGGATGCGAAGCGGATACAACCCCTACAGCTAGCGTGCACACTACACCCTACAGCCACAATCGAAGATCCCTGCACTCTGTGCTCTAACCCATCCAACATGGGAACCCTGGCTCCATGATATACACCCTCGTAAAGCCTCGAAACATCCCTTTTCAAGCCCCAAGAGTGCGCATAAACCCTCTACGCTGCCGCAAAACCCTTCCACGCCCTGAACTGGGGTTCGAAGTAGCCGGGGAGAAAAGTGTAAGCATTCTATTCATACTGGGAATGGGGAAATGGATTATGGAATAATGCGGATTATATAGGGACTACTATAAGGATCCATTCCCCCATTCCCTACTTATAACGCGCCAAACCCGCGTTCGCGCGCGCAGGATCAAGAATCCCAGGAGTAGAAGGATATCCTTATCATCATTATCATCATCATCGTCATCGTCATCATCATCATCATAATAATCATCATGAGTGTAGCAGCAGCACATCAGCTTCCTGAGGAGTGCAACTCTTGCCACCACGAGGAGTTCGCTCACGGTTCGCTGCTGCATTTGCCAAAGCATGCGGATTCCAGGAAACGGGAGTCTCAGAAACAGCAGGCTTGGTAGAAGACGAAGAAGCTGTTGAGGTCACTGCATTGTCCTCGCACAAGTCAACAATGTCGTGGGAAAGGTCCACAACATCGTTCGTGTAGGCTTGCAGCGCACGTAGCTGCCGCAAACGCCACTGAGGGTCGGCCATCTCTGGAAGGTCCATGGCGAGCACAGCCAGACTAGAAACATGCTCATATGCTGACTGCTGAATGGGCATGGAAAGTGGCCTGTGCCCTAAACCCTGCGTGGGCCGAGGCGTTTGAGGATAGCATTGCATGCGAAGCCCATGAAAGCATGCGCCTGCCGGTGTTTGCAGCTGGCCCCAAAATCTGCGCTGTTGCGCGCGAACGTGGGTTCGGTGGGAAGAACCAGACAGTCGTAGTGGCCAGCAGGTCCCGAACAGCGAAAGTATTATATAACCGGAGTTTGAAGCAACCAGGGACAAAAATAGTGTAGACTTTACTTTCATAATGGCTCCTTTAAGGAACAGATACCAAAAAACGTATTCAAGTAAGGTACTCCAAACCCAGGTTAACGAAGTGGTACTCCAGAAACCAAGCCCTAACCCTCAGCCGGCCTCTGTCGGAAAAAACGGTGCCCAGTGTAGGAAGGCAAACCGGGGCCGGAAGTCCGGGGCCTTCCCAAGAGAGCCCAATATATGCCCCCAATTAAGGAATAGACCTTGAAGCATAAGGGGCTTCATGTCATGATTTCGCTGTAGTCCTTAATGAAGGGGTAGTAGGCCAAGGCTCAGATAAGACAGCGGCCATACTAACTAGTCAATATTCGTGTTTCGGGATTAGGGCTTATAGTGTTTATAGCGCTTAGGGCTTCAGGCTCGGGGACTTTCTGGCTTATCAGGTTTAGGGCTGGGCATTTAGGAGCTCATATATAGGACCCGGGCCTGCTCAATATACCTTACAATAGCAGAACCTGGTCCGGTCCCTATCAGTTCTTTATTGGTGTTTCAATAGTCAGAACCTACAATAAATTTTTATGGTAGTTTAAGCTAATCAATACTAGGCCTTGGAGTCTTGGAGCTTAGGGGCGAACGTGACATCTGGACATTATCAGTGTTAGGACTGCGTTGCTATAAGGGCTCCATTAGGGCTTCATTGTTCTGTGTTAATGGTTAAGAGTTTGGGAGTTCAGGGTCGTGCAGGGTTTACAGAAGTCTAGGGTTACTGAAGGCTACCTTCGGTTTGGGGCTTCGGAGGCTCGTCCGCAAAGGCCCACTTGAAATAATTAAGAGCGTGTTAACACCACCAAATACTAAACCCGTGAAGATAGGTCTACCCAGAGGCCGCAAAGTAGTTCCTTTTTGGGGTTCATATATAGAATCCTATACGGTACTGCCAAGAAGGAACTCCTTTGGGGCCTCTGGGTAGGCTTGCAACAGATGCAACCTATGATGCACAATTTGTGGGTAACTCAGAATTTTATAGACCAGCAACTCGCAATACTATTCATCTCGACATACATGTGGGTAGTTGTCAAAATTATGGTCCCCTTTTTGGGTCTCTATCATAATACGGCACCTAATATTTAGGGTACCAAAAAAGGGACCATAATCACTACCGAGTAAGGCCCGGACTTTCATGCTTAGGCGCCCTTCACCTTCTGACCTCTGAACCGTGTAACAACCCTAAGCCTTAAACCCCTGAAACCCTAAACCCCTTAAACCCCATATACACCCTGAACCCAAAAGCCTATCTTCTCTAGACTGAGAAGCCGAACAGCTTGGTGTCGGACACACCATGCCCCATCCACTTGTACTTGGGATCCTTCAGATGAAGCCGAAGGTTTAGGGCTTAGTGAGCTTGGGTGTAGGGCACAGGGGTTTAGGGATTTAGGTGTTCCGCTCTATTAATGATTAATGGTTGGTTCAAGATGCTAGCGGCTTGAGGATTTGGGGCAGTTGAAGTACAGGGTTTAAGATTTAGCGCACTCGGTATTAGATCTTTTGCGGTTTCGGTGCTGGAGCTTTGCTTACGGCGTACGGAATTCGGGTCCAGGTTGTGCAGATAAACGAAAAGTCTAGGTGGGGCGCCTGCATGCATATGGTGGTCTTCGGCCGCCGACCCCTATGCTAATTCAACACCGTAGCCGCTTCAGCAAACGGTTTCGGGCTGAATAGCCAAAATCCTGGGCCCGAAACACTAGACCAATCAGCACTCCTGCTGCCACATGGTCCAGGTCGCACAAGTGGCTTGGGAGCGAAGACCCCTGAGAAGTGGACATGGATGGTTGTCAAGATTCTGGCCCCTTTTTGGGTACCCTAAACATAACGTGCCGCATTATAATAAGGACCAAAAAAGGAACCCTAATTTTGACAACCACCCATGTAAGCTCTCTCGCATGAAGTTATGTTCTGTTGAATGTTTGTGTAGCTTAGAGCGGTTCGGGGTGGGTAGGTTTGATACCCAGGCTTCAGACGGCTTAAGAGCCTAAGCTTCAGAGTTCTGTAAGTTCAACAGGTGCTGATATGTGTTCCTGTTTTCGCCATTGCGCTTCTTCTTTGTATTTAACTAGTGCCCTGTGTAGCACTAGTCACTATGCACTGTACCTTGAACTACCACTGCGCTAATATAGGATCTAATATAGAATTCATACTGCAACTAGGTTTTGGTACCTCGGGGTATAGACTTCCTTACCTCATGGAGGCTACTACTGCAGCTCTGCCAGCGAGATATTGTTCGCGTCGTTGTTGCGAACAGACCCTGACTAAAATCTATCCCTTAAACCCTAAATCGTAAATCTGTACAAGCCCGGTATCCCTTACAGAGGGTTACTGTGCCAATGCCCAACCTGAAGTTCGTCGTACACATAAAGCGTAGGTACCTTGCACACATAGGAATCTCATAAACCATCACCCACTTCCCCGTCCCGACTGTAAATATTCATACTCAGATGCCCAACATTTCTAAACCAGCTGAAATGATGAGCCCGACAGTGCCGTGCACTGCACCTCTGAACTCCCTGAACCCTATGCTTGAGACAATCCTGTTACGCTACATAAGGTGCCCCTTGCGATTTTGTGCCTTAGGATAACGGTTTCTCTTCGGCTGCAGGTATGTGTAAGACTTCGCCTGACCGGCGAAATGCCCTGATACCTACAGGCTAAACTGGCCTAAACCTCCAAGCCCTGAACTCTTTCGCGCGACCTTCGCGAAAACCCGGAACACCTGTTTGTGGTGACCGAGGTGGGCGTTCTTCGAGCACAAACACTCTTTCATAGGAACGCTTAACCCAGCTTATAAAGGCTCATCCCCTAGCCCTTTTTGAGGGGACCTACTTTTTCTGTATATCACATGCTATAACCATAACATGAGGACCCAAATAAAGAGAACGGTGGGTTATGACCCTCTGGGACTATGCTAACAGGCTTGAGGCTCCCAAACAAGGTCCCTAAAGCGCTACAACGGCGTAGGGTTTAGGGGCTTAGGGGCTGGGAGGTCTAGGGCTCACATTATGACTTCGTAGGTTTAATTGGCTTGGGTATTACCCTAACCCTTCAACCCGTTTAGAGTAAAAACCGTGCCAGAGCTCCGCACACTGGGGGATCGGGTGGCCCGAGCCAATCGTGGGACTGCAGCAGGCTGGAGGCGCTAAGGTTCAGGGATGCGGGTTTAGAGTTTCGTTGTTTTTTGTCGGCTCTTTTCCTCCCTGTTGCGATCAGAACAAAGTATGGAGCTTGGGGTTTAGAATGTTCAGGGTTTAGAGCGGTAGGTCAAGCTGACGAGTCATCATGCAGAGCCTAGAAATGTGAGGCTCTGCCTTCGGGAGTGCGAGATGCGAAGTTTGGAACTGCAGAAGTTTGTGCTTTCGAGCCGGAGGCACCATGAGCCCCACGGTAGTATATATATATATATATATACTGCGGGCCCAAAGCGCCTCTGTAGGGATTGCGTTAAGGCCAAAGTATAAACTATTTGGGCACAGGGACGGAGAAGTGCAAAACCAAGGAGCTGCACAGCTACTGCGCAGGGACGGAACCGCAATCATGGAGTCTTGGCAATAGGATGGTGGTGGATGTCGGGTTCATTAACTTGAGGCGCTTTCACCAAACGGCCCTGGCTGAATGAATGTGTCTGCAGACCTTCTTTAAGTGCAGCGCAGAGGGAACGTTTCTGTGCGGGCCAAGGATATGCGGAAATCATGCAAGGGCCTGAACTGGAACATCAACGTCGTATT